GGGAAGTCATATCAGGAACTTAACTCTTTCTTGTGACTCTGCAGGCTGTTACTTAAGGCATGAATTCCATGGAGGGGCTAGTGTCCGTTACAGGAGCCCAATAAGGCCCCTCGGCAACACCAAATAGATGTAGAGGCAGCAATATTATGGGGTAGTTTAGCTAAATTCTCAACAGTGCCCTTTTGAAAAGGTCATTCTAAATATGCAACTTTACTTTTATAATTTCTAAAAATCAGGATACCCACTACTGAAGGAGAAGATATGCATGTGTCATAATGAAAAATATTTTAAAGTATCTGAATCCCTAAGTTAAATCAGATGGACTGCTCTGAGCCTGTCTTGAGGGGGGAAAACAAACTGGAAGGATAAAGGATATCCTCCAAGGGTAAGGTTACTGAAGAAGGATGAGTAGTTGGTTAATGAGACTTTTTTTCTTGCCTCCTTAAATTGTAAACAGAAAAGGATGAGAGAGGAACCACAGACCTGGTGGGGGCGGGGGGACGGGACCAAAAAACAGCAATGAATCCTTAGGCAATGTCAAGATTCTTTAATGACTAGAGTCAACATGTTGACACCAGGGTTGTAAAATTAAAGTGACTAAATATCTGTGTTTATATTTGGACCCAAATATATATTGACATAATAAAGAATATTGATTAAAGGAAGGAAAAGCTGAGGATGGGAAAAGAAGGAAAGAAACTAAACTTAACCGAGCAATTAATATATGCAAGATACTCCATTATGAGCCAATAACTCTTCCAACAGATACTTGGCAAAAAATGAAACTAGCCCAGCCTTTTCAGGTATAGATTATTTTGCCTACCATACAGATAAGAAATCATAACCTCAGTAACCTGAAGTAACTTTCCCAAGTAAATACAACTAACAAGGGCTAAAGGAATTCTAACCTGAGATGGGCTAATTCTTGTTTTTAATATATTTTTATTGATTTCACTGAGGAAGGGAGAGGGATAGATAGAAATATAAATGATGAGAAACATTGATCAGCTGCCTCCTGTATGCCCCCTACTGGAGATCAAGCCCACAACCCAAGCATATGCCCTGATTGGAATTGAACTGTAGCTTCCTGGTTCATAGTTTGACCCTCAACAACTGAGCACACCAGCTGGGTATAGGCTAATTCTTTATTCCATTCACATAGTTGAGATACCTACATTGTCTCATTCACTTTGTGTCAAAATTTAGATCATAGGCATTATTATTTCCATTTTACATATAAAAGAAAGTGAGGTTAAGTTGGCATTCTCTAAAGCCATTCTACCAGCAAGTGATGCCTATGACTTTGTTTTTAATAGCCAGTGGTGTTTAAAACTGACATTAAAAAAGAGTCAAGTACAAAATATTAACCAATGTCATTCCAATACATTCAATTAAAAAACTCACAAAGGTGTGTTAACCTAGATGCATAAGAACAATTGGACAGATCTTGCTTAAGGCAAATGTAAACTCTACCAAAGAAGTCATAGGCCCTGGGAATGACTACCCACCATGACCTGCCCCATTAGGAACTTATGATCAGATCACCCTGTGAGGTTACTTTTGGTCACTGGACTTGTCAGATTTATTACAGAGCTCATTTTTTATCCATCTCCCCTGCCCCCTTTCAACTGTTCCTCCTTTACATGTGAAAATTGCATGACTATTGATTCTGCAGCATATATATATATATATATATATATATATATATATATATATAGTGTACAATTCTATAATACATCACTTATTGTATTGTGTGTTCACTACACTAAATCAACTCTCCTTCCATCACTATCTCCCCTTACACTCTGCTACCTCCTTCAACCCCCTGCCCCTTCCCCTCTGGTAAGCATATTTTATATTTGTAATATCAGTGTGAACTCATATAACTGTTGGCTTTTAATCATTAATGGTAATAATAGAAGAAAGGGAAGAATGTTTAATACTTGTTAATATGTATGGTGAATATTTTTATATGTTTTTTTATATGTTTTTAAATTTTATTCTCAAAATAACCCTATGAAGTAGCCCTATTTTACAGTGAAATAACTTGATACTCAGAAATAAGTAACTGATCAAGTTATTTGATTAAAGATCACTTCTGAATAAACATCAGAACTAAAATTTGAAGCAAAGTCAGTTTTACTCCAGAGCACTTTCATCATTTGGAAAAATTACATTTATACTACAATGTTGGCAATTCTTCTTGCCTTTCTTAACTGCACAGTTCTCTGGAAGATTTGGCAATCTGGGTGATATTGCAACAAGATTGAGAAAACTCCACGATGAAGTCTCTCTTTATGTTATCACCAAGTGAATGTTTGCTTCATCAATGACTATAAAGGTGATAAGGTGTCTATTAGAGCACGATAGCTCATGTTGTAACTGTTGCTATTTATCTGTTGCTTCTCTGAGAAACACTAAGAATTTTATGAACCACATTTCATGAAGTTCCTACAATGCCCAAGAGGCACAGAAAATATAAATTTAAAGGTACTGTTCATTATAACATCAAGGTATCAAAAAAGATTTGAACTGTCTTCCAGCCACACAATATTTTCTTTAATGTTGAAATTTTTAGGTTTTCATTGTTCAAATGATCAAAGGCTTGTCTCCAATAGCTATGCTTGCATTAATGAAAGCACACACGCCACTGAAAATCCTTTTGTATTTTTCTCATGACAATGGCCTGAGCTGAAGCTCCACAAGCAAAAAAAAAAGTTTTTTAGGTAAAATAGATTTGGGAAATGGTTATATCATAGCACCTTCTAAGAGATTTATAAGGCATTTGTGCATTATAAAGAAGTGGATTTCAATTTTCACTATACATCTGAGTTGCTTGTGTATTGCTTAAAAATAGAAGTCCTATAGTTAGGATTTAGTTATTACCCAAGGGTATTATTTTTTAAACATAGATTATTAAAAATTTAAAATTTAGAAATGATAATTTTTCCAGGGTAATTTTAGATTCTAGGTATAATTTAAACCCATGCAACATAAAAAGAAACAAATTTATTTCTTAGGTAGTATAGACAATTTGCCTGTGAATTTGCCTAAAATTCTTAGGAATAATGTAGTGAAGGTTTTGACTACTGATTGCTCTTATTATAGTTACAATATACTTTTCCACTAAACTGTGGGCTTATTTATTTATTTATTTATTTAATCTTCAACTGAGGATATTTTTCCATTGATCATTAGAAAGAATGGGATAGGGAAAGACAGAAAGAAATATCAATGTGAGAGAAACATATCAATTAGTTACCTCTTGCAGGAGCCCCAACCAGGGCCCAGGTCAGGGAGGAGCCTGCAGCCAAGGTACCTGCCCTTGTCTGGAATCAAACCCAGGACCCTTCGGTCCACAGGCCAATGCTCTATCCACTGAGCCAAACCAGCTAGGGATACTATAGGCTTATTTAGAAGAAGGGGCTGTATGTAATCATTTTGGAGTCTCTACCAAATATACCTAAATTTAATTTTATGAAAAAATTAGGCATTTACTAAAATGCTGTAAATTGTAATATTTTCATAGTCAATGATTATTTTATTCATTTATTATTTATTCAGAGATTATACATTGGCCAATTGCTGCCTGGCAGACACTCGCTGCCATCTAAGGCTGATGAACATTCCCTCTGTTTTGTCATGGTTTATTGCCATACACATAGGCACAGAAAAGTAAAGGAATATGATGTGTATTCAAGTGAGAGCAATATAGTGTGAGAATAGGGAGCATATAAAATAACTTTTCTCTAAAATCTGAATTGGAGTAGGTTAAATCGCCTATGCAACCTTTTTAGTTATCATATAATTGTAGAATTTACAGAATGTTAGAGTTCACCAGCTTAGGTAGCCTTCTGTTTAACCCCAAGGAAGCAAACTGACTTGTTCAAGGTTAGAGCTAACCAGTGGCCATAGATTATTGAATTCCCAGGATCTGTTTTACACAAGAAAAGGATTTTGGGATATACCCTGTCCCCCTCCCGCCCCCTAACAAAAAGCATATTCTTACACTAAATGATTTTTTTATGGTTACTTTAAAATGTGTTCAAAATATAAAGGAAGAAAAAAAGAAAGGGAGGATGAGAGAGCAAGGAAAATAGGGTGGAAGGGAAGCTGATAAAGAAAGAAAAACAAGAAAGAAGGGAGGAAAAGCAGGGAGACAGGGAGGGGGAAAACTTCATTTGTTGACATTGGTTTAAATCAGCAGTTCTCAACCTGTGGGTCGCGACCCCTTCGGTAATCAAATGACCCTTTCACAGGGGTCGCCTAAGACCATCGCAAAACACATATATAATTACATATTGTTTACAGTAGCAAAATTACAGTTATGAAGTAGCAACGAAAATAATTTTATGGTTGGGGGTCACCACAACATGAGGAACTGTATTAAAGGGTCGCAGCATTAGGAAGGTTGAGAACCACTGGTTTAAATGAAAAGGATGCCCAATTAGAATACACTGTCAGCCATTCAGCTGCTTCAAAACTATTGAGGCTAATACGTAAGATTAGATTTCTTGGTTAATAAAATATTGGATATTATACTCAAGAAATATGATATTTTTAATGTTTTTAAGATTTTATGCCAGACAGATTGATGATCATATTGTTTATATCACTTCCTGGCTTGAAATATTGATGTTCCTTCAGGCATTACATACCATTGACAATATGTAATGGTATCTTAGAAGCTAGACACAATCCAAATGTAGTTGTTTTGTAATTCTTCATTTTATTTTATTTTTTACAAAGAAAGAACTTTGCATTAGAATTGAACTTTGTTGTGGTAACTGACTCCTATAAGCACCGCTGAGATCCCAAACCCATGGTGACTGCTTGACTTCTTGTGACCCCACTCATTTTGTGATGCTTTTGTTCTTAGCTTACCCTTTCAGCTTGTATCAAAGTGAAGGAAGTGTCTCAATGGGAAGAATTCAAGAGCATTTTTCTAACCCCTTCCTTAATTTAATTTCATGACCTGTTTTCAATTGCAACTCTTACAG